TGGCTGACCCGCCGAGGGCCCGTTTCGATCGGGGAGATCTCGCCCAAAGATGGAGGCAAGTGGGCTGACGAGGCCGCAGGGCGTTGGATTCGGCAGCAAGTTTTGGCTAAGCACCCTTCTTGGGCGTCGCTCTGTCCTCGCCCTCCGCTCCTGGGGCCTCTGGGGCCCCTCCTCCTCCCTCCCCCTCGAGGCCCTGACTGGGCCCCCAAGCACCAAGGGCCCCTTATGTGCTTGTTGGCTGAGGTTTTTTGGTCCCAGGAGAGACTGTGCAACGCGGGCGGGGCCGTCGACCCTGACTGCTTGATTTGCAAAAGTCGAGGCACGGCGCGGCACAGGTTTTACGGTTGCCCCGCCCATGAGTCTTTTCGCCGCGAGTATAAAGGTGAATACTTGTTGGCAGGCCAGATGCTTGAGCTAGCGCATTCGGCCGCCGACGTCTCGTTGCTTTGGATTAGGTTTCTTGTTCCTGACCCTTCCGGGCCGCTGCCGGGCCCGCGTCTGGAAGAGCGAGTTGTCTGGGCCTTGCGGTCGGACGACCTGCTCCTCGATGTGCGTGCGTTCGGCGATGGTTAGGGTTCGCGTGGGCGGCGCAGCCGACTCGGGCGGCGTGGTTGGGGCTTGTGTTCGCTGGATGATTCTTGGCACGAAGTCGCCAGGATGCATGGGCAGCTGCCGTCTCTCATCCAGTCTGTGCCCGCTGCGGAGCTGTTTAGTTTCCTGATGGCCCTCAGGTATATGGGTGCGCATATGAAATTGTACACCGATTGCAAGCCGTTCGTTGATGTTTGGCGCCAAGGGCTCGGCGCTGGCATTGCGGCCAGCGACCCGATGGCGATCCTCTGGAGAGAAGTCTGGAGGTTGGCGGCGGATCGGGGTCTGGAGGCGGCGGATGTCTCTCATGTTAAGCCTCACACACCGCACTCGGCTGTGGTGGAAGGGCGAATTGCACCTTGGCAACGTTTCGGCAATGCCAGGGCTGATGAAGCAGCCAAAGCAGGAGCCACCTTGCGCGCGGATTGTCTCCTTGCGCGAGGCGCATGGGTCATCTATCCAGGCGGCGAAGATGGTGGCGCAATTTTGCACTCGTGTCGCGGCCAGGATCGGTTCGATCACTGGCCCTGATGCCCAGGCAGTCGTGCTTGGGCGGGCCATTGGCACCATCGAGGGTGGGTTGGGCCCTCCCAGGCCGCACTCAGGGTTCGACCCTGCAGTCGCTCGTATGGACACGAGATGTCGTTGCATGATATGTCTCAGATCGGCGAAGTCTCGAGCTGTGTTGGGTCAGTTGAAGTGCTCGGAGAGCCCTGCTCCGTCTGCGGTGCGTATGCCATCACACGAAGCCAGGGGCTCTCCGAGGATTGCAAGCCCTTCCGGCGCCGTGCGGGTACCCTGGTCAAAGACTCTGGGACCTCTGAGGCGGGGTGTGGTTCGGGAGCGGGGGCGGGGCGGGCAGGGGCGGGACGGGTGCTTTCTCCTCCTCCTGTTGCCCAGGCTGATTTGGCCTTGTGGGAAAGCCTCGTCGGTTTCCCCTATGCCAGCGACTCGGGCGACGACGATCCCGCTCGCGAAGTGAGGCTGTGGGGCTTTATATATATAAATAAATAAAGCAACAAATAAATAAATAAATAAATAAATACAAATAAATAAATACATAAATAAATAAATACATAAATACATAAACACATACATAATAATGACAATAATAATAATAATGATATTAATAATGGTATTAATAGTAATAATGATAATAATAATAATATTATTAATAATAATAATAATAATAGTAATAAGAATAAGCATAAAACTGGCCAGTAAGCGTGCGGCTGGTTCCTGTCAGGACAAACATCCTTAGGCCTCCTGCCTCCTGGGGCCTCCTGGGGCCTCTTGGGGCCTTCGAGCCTTCTGGGCCTCCCAGGACCTCCTGGGGCCTCCTAGGGCATTCCTCCTCCTCCTCCTCCTCCTGCTCCTCTTCGTCTTGTTCCCATTCTGCCTCCTCCTCTTCCTCCTCCTCTTACTCCTTTCCTTTCTCGTCCTGCATCCTCCTCCTCCTCATCCTCCTCGTCCTCCTCCTCCTCCTCCTCCTCCTCCTCTTCCTTGTGCAGAACATTACCCCGAGGAAACGCACGACGTGCGTCCCAGCGGCTGCGCGCCAGAGGGCGGCCCAAAGGAAGCGCGCGCTGGAAGACTACCCGGGGAAATCACGTGAGGTGCGGGCCACATGGGGAGGGGGCTCCCGCCTGAGACTTCCTCGCAATTCACTCACAGACGACGTTCCCGCCTTATATTTCCTCCATCTTCAGGCCTCGGGGGCCCAAAAGTGACAGCGGTTGCGGGAGGCCGATGAACCGCTTCGGATTCGAACATGAAGTGCGGGCCCCATAGGGAGAAGGCTCCCGCCTGAGATTTCCTAGTAATTCACTCACAGACGAGGTTTCTGCCTGATACTTCCTCCATGCTCAGGGTTCAGGAGCCCAAAAATGACGACTGTTACAGGAGACCGATGGCCCGCCTCGGATTCGAACACGAAGTGCGGGCCCCAAGAGAAGGGGGCCCCCGCTTGAGATCTCCTCGCAATTCATTCACAGACGAGGCTCCCGCCTGATACGTCTGCCATTTTCAGGCTTCAGGAGCCCAAGAGTGACGACGGTTCGAGCCGATGACCCGCTTCGGATTCGAACACGAAGTGCGGGCCCCATAGAGAGGGGGCTCCCGCTTGAGACTTCTTCGGAATTGACTCACGGACGAGGTTTTCGCCTGATACTTCTTCCATATTCAGGGCCCAAGAGCTTAAAAGAGACTACAACTACAGGAGGCCAGTGACCCGCTTCGGATTTGGAGGTGAAATGCGGGCCCCATAGGGAGTGGGCTCCCGCCTGAGACTTCTTCGCAATTCACTCACAGGCGAGGTTCCCGCCTGATATTTCCTCCATTTTCAGGCGTCAGGAACCCCAAAATGACGACAGTTACGCGAGGCCACGGACCCGTGTCGGATTCGAACATGAAGTGCTGATCCCATATGGAGAAAGTTCCCGCTTGAGACTTTGTCGTAATTCACTCACAGAGGAGGCTCCCGTCCGAGACGACACACAAGCGAGTGATTATCATGATGGTGTGAGTGAGTGAGTGAGTGAGTGAGTGAGTGAGTGAGTGAGTGAGTGAGTGAGTGAGTGAGTGAGTGAGTGAGTGATGCTGATGATGATGATGATGATGATGATGATGATGATGATGATGATGATGATGGTGATGATCATGACGATGATGATGATGATGATGACGATGACGATGATGATTGAAATGATGATGAGGCCAGTGGTGATGATGTTGTGCGCGTGATTGAGTGCGTGATCGGCGATCGTGTGCGGTGACTGTGTGGCTGATGCTGATGATGGGGTGAATGGTTGGGAGTGAATGATTGATTGCATAATAGTGTGATCCTGTGTGGTGAGTGTGTGTGTGTGACTGATGATGGTGGTGCGAATGATTGAGTGAGCGAGTGTTCGACAAGGAGAAAAAGCTAAACATGTTATGATGATGGTGATGGTGCGTGAGTGATTGAGCGAGTGCACGCGCGAACGCACAAGAGGAGAGTGGGTGATGCCACAGGACTGCGCAGGGTATCCACATAACAAAAACTCCATTTAGGATTGATGCTGCGATGACGATGTGAATGTGTGAGTGTGTGAGTGAGACGAGAAGGGGAGTTCCTTCCATCCTGTTCTTGCGCGGGGTGTCCGGAGAAAACAAGAACCACACTTTGGATGTGGGGAAGCACATACACTCTCGCACACATACACACACACACACTCACACACACACACTCACACGCAGACGCAGACGCACACGCACGCGTACACGCACATTCGCTTCATGTCGGCGGCGCAGAGGAACCTCGGGTGCGGGCAGCAGATAAACGTATTACTGTCAGACGGAGTTCGCCGAAAGAGCAGCAGTGCGAGGCGCACACGCACACACACACAAACACACGCACACACACACACACCCACACGCACACGCACACGCACACGCACACGCACACGCACACACACACACACACGCACACGCACACGCACACGCACACGCACACGCACACGCACACGCACACGCACACGCACACGCACACGCACACGCACACGCGCACGCGCACGCGCACGCGCACACGCACACGCACACGCACACGCACACGAACACTCTTTTTGGCGTCGCGGCCTTGCGCGCGGCGACAGGGTGGAAAAGGTCAAAAAGAAAGAAACGCGCACGCGGACTAGACGCGCCCGAGCCCTCAAAGACCGTTTTGGGTCTCACAGCTGCCGTCAGCCATACGCCATCCTAGCGCGGAGGGCAGAGGGGGACGAAATTACGGTGCGGTGAGGGTGACACAAGCCAACCGAGACTGGAAGGCGGAGGGAGTGAGTAAGTAAGCAGCGTAGAGCGACCAGGAGACCGAGACCAACCTGGAAGCCCACGAAGGGCGGGGGCGGACAGGAGCCAGCGAGGAGTGGGTGCCAATGCCAGTCAAGGCAGGCAGACACGAGAAGCAAGAAGGTCGAAGCAGACGAGGCAGTGACGGCGGCAAGGGGCCGCAAAATGGGGAGCCCGCAGCAGCGGTGCGGCGCCTGCCAGCCTGGCGGCGGCCAGAAAGGCCGGTAGCCGGGAAAGAGGCCAGCGCGGGCCGGACAGGAAACCGCATGGCCCAGGGGGCCAGAGAGAGGGCGGGCGGGAGCCAGCCCAGGGGCGCGAGGGCGGAGAGACCACCCGGGGGGGAGCAGTAGAGCGGGGGGGCCACAGGGAAGGGGGCGGCAGAGGGGCGACATTGGCCAAGCGGGGCCTGGAGAAGAGCGCGAGCGCGCACGGATATCCACGTCGAGGCAGACTGGCCATGGCGTAAGTAAGGGGACGGCCTGGAAGCAGGCAGCGCGCAGCGGCAAAAGCACTTCCCAGAAGAGAGAGGTGAGCCCAGCCCGTTCACCGAATCCTGAACGCCCGCGCACCACCCGCGGGGCATGGGGGGCGTCCACGGAGGTCTGGGGCCGCAGGAGGCCTCCAGGGGGGTGAACCGCTGGGGCCAGTGGATAGTAGCCCGGAGGGGGACAGGGCAAGGGACGGCACCCCAAGGGGGACAGGGAAGGGCGGGCCACAGGGCCGGGGCAGCTCACGAGAAAGCCGCCCGCGGGAAATGGGCCACAGGCGCATCCGAAGGAACCGCCGGCAGTGGTGCTGGTGAACCTGCCGCCGCTGGAGGGAGCGCGGGCCGAGGGGGCCTCCGTGGGGGGAGGGCCCCCGTCCATAGCTGAGGAGGCAAGGGGACCGAGGAATTCCTCAAGCTCCGTGGCCGAGTAAGGCGTGGGCGAAGGGAGAGTGGTCCCAGGGGTCAGGGGCCCACCTCTGGCATGGGAGAGGGTCCACATCCGCCATCCAGCCTCAGCGAGGCGGTCAGAAAAGCTGCTCCCCAGCCAAAGTTGGGGGATCTGGTTCACCATGGGCCGCTGTAATTGAGCGTCGCAAGCGCCACCACCAGAGTCGGAGGCGAGGGCAGGCGGGGCGGCCAGACGGCGTCCAGGTGGGGGTTGTGCGAGCAGATGCGGGAAGCCACTGCCGAGAGGGCGGTCACCGGGTGCGGCTCCAGAGCTGGCGGAAGCATCCCCCAGGGGAGGAGCCGGGGGGCCGAGCGCACCGGAGGAGCTAGAGGCGGTGGCAGGACGTGGCAGGGGCGAGCAGAGCGGCAGGGCAGAGCGAGGGGGGCGGCGGGGGGGGGCAAGGAGCGGGACGCGGGCCCCGGGCTCCCGCTGACGGGACGGCGAACGGGGTGGACTTGCCGGCCCCGCGCGGGCGGGCAGGAGGGGCGCCACAGGGGGGGACCTCAGAAGGCGGGACCCCTGTGCTGGCCGTGGGGGGTCGCCGCGAGCGCCAGGGTTGCTTGGCTGCCGAGGGGCGCCGACGGGGTCGCGCGGGCGGCCGCGCGGGCGGCCGCGCGGGACCCCGAACGGCCTCCTCGGGAGTGGAGGCGGCCGATCGCCCGCGCTGGGAGCACTGCCGCACACACCCACATCCACACACCCACACAGCCACACACCCACACACCCACACACACCCGCACACCCGCACACCCTCACATCCACACGCACACGCACACGCCCACGCCCACGCACACGCACACGCACCCCCACACCCGCACACCCACACGCATACGCCCACGCCCACGCCCACGCACACGCACACGCACACGCACACGCACACGCACACGCACACGCACACGCACACGCACACGCACACACATCTGTTCAGCCACCCCCCAGCAGGCCGCCTCGGATGGCCTGCCAGAGGAGCCGGAGGGGCCCGCAGGCGGCCGCCCCTCGGCGACGCGCGAGAGTGACCCTTCGCAAGAGTGCCCCTTGGTGCGGGGCCACAGGGTGGTGCGGGGCCACGTGGGGGGTCACCCCGGGAGGAGGAGGAGGAGGAGGAGGAGGAGGAGGAGGAGGAGGAGGCCAACACGGGTCGGCCAGCGCTGATAAGGACTGGGGTGAATCGTTTCAGTGCCCTTTTGGGTGCGGGGCCGCAGGGGCCTTTGCCACAGGGGGGTCCCCCCAGCACTGGCATGGGGCGAATGAGGACCAGGACGGACCGTTCCAGTGCGTTCTGGAAGGCTCTCAGAGCGTCCTGGCGTGCTCTGGATCGGCCGCGGCGCCCGATACGTCCTCCAGAGCCGCTGGATCTCCGAGATCCCCGATTCGTCCCTGTCTGACGTTCTCGCTGTCCTGGCTCCGTCTTGGCTGGCCTGCGTGCTTGGCTCTGGCCCCGGCGGCCCCCGGATGCCGCGCACCAGAGGTCGCTCTTGCTTGGGGCCACTCTTGCGTGCAGCCGACGCCCCGCCCCCCCCCCGCGCGCCGCCCGCCGCCCACGCGCGGAGTGCCGCGCCGCTCTCGCCGCGGGCTCTCGCGCGGCGGCCGACCGCGTGTCGCGTCGAGGCGCGAGACTCGAGGATCGGGGTGCCCGGAGCAGAAGCACTGCCATGAGCAACCCTTTGGAGGCCCGCACGGAACTCTTGGATCGGCGCCCGGTCCCGGCGCTGGATGCGCAGCCAGGGAAGTGAATATGCCCCTCTCCGCCTCATCATTATGTGCCTCTGCTGCCGCCTTACTTGTACATCATTGACATTGCTTGTTATACTGAAGCTGTTTGCTGATCAAGTGATAAAAAGAGCGCGCCGGGGGCTCGCGCGCGGCTCGTGTCGTCGTCCGCGTCCGGCCGGCCTCCTCCCTTACCATACTTGGTTGCAATTGTTTTACGGATAACATATTGTTTCATCGATGCCTCGTCCCAAATCCTCTACTACTGAGCGTATTGATCACGAAACCTTAATTCCTTTGGCATCTTACCCCGATTCTCAGAGGAAGGTCTGGTTATCGGCCGAAGCCCGCGACCAAGTCGCTATGGGATTGAGCTATGATGAGACAGCCGAATTGCCCGCGAGATTACACGATGTGCATCGAGACGGGCAAGAACAACAGGACTGCGGCCCAGGGGAGGGCCGCTCTCTTCCCTCTTCTAACCTCAATCGGGTTCCTCATGGAGGAGTTGTTGGAGAAGTCATAGATTCATCTGCAGATGATTATCCCACTCGTGTTCAGATCAGAGATCGTGATCAGACCCCGGACCCGATGAGGCGGAACGGCCCAGCCGTGAACGCCAGGCGAGGAGCCTTCTCATCTTGGATTGCTGAGCCCCCAGAAACAGTATATTCCAGCCCGATTGCCGTACATTCTATCGAGCCAGCCGCTGGCCCAGCCAGTAAGCCGCGAGTCGTGGACGAGTCCAGCGGCATGCTCCCCGCCGTCCCGGACGGTTGGGGTCGTCCGCCCGGGACTCACCCCATTCCGATCGCCTTGAACGGGCAACCCGGTCAGGACAGCGACGAAAAGCTTGATGACGAAGACGATGCCAATTCTATGGAAGACAACATGGAGTAGGCCGCGTACCAAATGTCCCCAAGCCGAGTTTTGCCGTTGTTGAACGCTGCCGACCGTCCCGTCCCAGACGGAAGGTCATCCCCAGGACAGGATACCATTGACTATGATCACTGGGAAATTCTTGGGGGGGGGCATTTGCGGAGCCAGATCTAGACGCCACGATCAGCGACCTAGTCCGCGAGGTCCCAGCGGCACACGAGCCATGGGGAACAGCGATACCGCCCCCCTCTCTCCCAATCGCTGAGGTCCCGCCCCAGGCGGCAGAGGTTGCTTCTAGTTCCCAACTTCATGCCAAGCATGACCAGGAGTCCACGGGCCGAACGCCAGCTCCTCAGCTTAAGAAGCACAGGAATGAAGATTACGACTTGAATGCTCCCCCGCTTTGCCGTCGCCCCGGGCGATTGGCAACCGTTGGTCCCTGCGGTAGCTGAGGATGACGATCCGTTGGACCCCCCAGTCACACTCCCAGAGTTGATTGCACAGGATGAAAGGGATGAGGCGCTCCGCGAGGTGGCCAAGCCACCGGAGAGCACACGCGCACTCGCCCTCGATCGTCTGCTTCGAGCAGGGGGCGGCCCAAGATCCCACGATCTGGCGCCCGATCGACTTCGAGGAGCAACAGTGCAATTTCCATGCGCGAGGCATGCTGGAACCAAGGCCCTGATTGCCCGCCCCAGGCGGAGAACAGGTGCCCAGGGAAAGCCCACAAAACGGGGGGACCTTGTAGGCGCCCAGTGCGTGGGTATTGTTCCAGCGTGTGCCCCAAGTGCGGTAATCAACGGCTGTGTGAGGGCTGCGTCCAGATGGAAGAATATAGCTGTCAATATCTTTTGATCCAAGCCATGCGGGAAGAAGCTGGGGCCCTAGAGGCCCAGAGACAGCATGAGACCATGGCCTTAGAAGCCCAGAGGGCCGAACAGGCCCGGCTGGATCGAGAAAAGATGAATGCAGTTATTGCCGGCGTTAAGAAGAAGTTCGAGGCTGACAGGCTTGCCATGGCCCAAGCTGCCAGTCGGCGAGAACGAGAGTTGATCGCGCAAATGCCCTCTCAGACCGCGGCTGCCCAGCAGCGCGCGGAAGAAGCCGAGAACAAGATTGTTGAGACATTATCTTCTGAGCGACGGGCTGCCCTGGCGGTGCGCAGTCAAGCTGCGGGCGCTAAGTCCGCCTGCGCCGCTGTTGCGGTGGCGAGGCTAGAAGGGGGGGGGGGGCGCGATAGCCAAGGCAGAGCATGGAATAAAGGAGCTCCAAGATCAACGTTGCGCTGCAAGGCTGGAAGCGGCCAACGCACAGATAATAGCTGCGACGATGGTTGACCAGAATAAACAGTATCGAGATGAGCTCAAGATGCATGAACACGCTAGGGCGTCGCTTCGACAGATGCCACCAGGTGACGAAGCGCGCCCGCCGGCCAAGCCGGCAGGGGCGGGCAGACGACCATCGCCGGCGGCCCAGCCGTCTGGTGCCACGTCGTCTCAGGCCCGGCCTAGCTCGGCTCCTCCAGATGGCGGGGCGCCGCCATTGTTGCGGGCGAGGGCTGCCCAGCAGCCTCAGCCCGTGAGTGGGGGCCCTGCCGAAAGTTGTTCAGCATGTTCAAACCCAGAGGTCGGATTATGCGCCACTTGCGGGTCACCCAGTTGCAAAGACCACTTTGATATGAACGCGAAGCGTTGCGTCGCATGCGTCCAACGAAAGAGTTTGCTTGGGGAACAGGCGGAGTGGGATGAGCAATGGAAGCGAGATAGCGCTAACCCCAACCTTTTGGCCCAACAGCAAAAGCTCCTTGATGACATTTACGCTGACAAGTGTAACATGCAGAGGATGAAGGGGCAAACTGAGGAACAGCTTCGATTGAGCTCGGAAAAGTCAGCCGCCAACATTCGCGATAAAGAAGAAGCGTTGGCCCGCGCGGCTGCATCAGAGAAAGAGGCGATGGAGCTCAAGGCTGCCATCGCTGAATCCTTAGAAGAGAAAGACCAACATCTGCGGTCTCGATCGCAAGCAGCTGACCGAGAGGCGGCCTTGAAAGAAAGGGCAAAAGAGATGACAAGGGCCACGGGTATGGAATCCTTCCAAATTATCGAGAAAGCGTCGGACAAAATGCCCGAATTTCATCAGTTCGATATGCCCCAGCTTTCGCAGGAGACGCCCGTCAGGCCAGCTTTGCAACCCAATTTCACTGTCCCTGGCCCTGCCACCGAAGGTCCGGCCAAGCCAGGCATTTCCGGGAACAATGTACCCTTCAATGCCGACTTGCAAGGCGCCGTTGATGACATGACCCTGATGAATTGCCATCTTTTCACCCAGGCGGGGCCAGCGAGGCCACCGGCGGCCCAGCCGCCGGGTGGAGGTAAGGGTAGCACGCCGGCGGCCACGCCGCCTGGCGGGGCAGGGCAGAGCAATGATGGGGATGATCAAAGTACCGCGCCAAGTACCGAGCTCTTGTGCGCAATCGCCCATGCCGCCCAAGACCAGTCAGGGAAGCCGCCTCCAGGGAGTCCGGGGGGTCCTGGATCCCCGGGCGGTGGAGGCGGTCGTGGGGGACCTCAGGGCCCAGGTGGGCCCAATGACCCGGGAGGTCTTGACGAGAGCACCCTTCTGGACCAACGGAGACAGGTTGGCAACAATCAAAGGGTGGATCTGATGGACATTCCCGGTGTTACAAACATCCGGGAGTGGCAGATGCATGCCATCCGTGCTGTGGCTGGATCGCCCCCTGAGATTCAGGAAGCACAGCTTTGGATCATGGAAGCCATGGGCCCCACCGCGGCTAAATAACAACTTAGAGATCTGTGCCGCTTCCAACGCCTCGACTTCATGATTGCCACTAACTTGATCGAGAAATTTAACAAGGTGCTTAGGAATCGCAGTCTTTCTGATCATCACAATCACTTCCTTCACCGGATCCAGCGCATGGAGCTCGCTGCCCAGAATGAAAAAGAGACTCTTGGCAAGGCGCCAAATGATACGGGCAATATGTTACTGGTGCTCAGTTAGAGCGGAGCTGGGTCAGCATCGTATTTCACGTGGTATTTTCAAGGTCGTCATTGATCCCAAATCGCCCTGACGCTGATCTGTACCATTTCTATAATGAATGGACAGACGTGCATCAGCAGCTCTACGGCGCACGACCTCCGTCCGACGAGATGCGAGCATCGATCCACGCCCATTTCCTTGAGCAATGCGGGAAGCCGAGGAGGTTGAGCATGATTTGTCAATTTTACGATCTGTCTTCAGACAAGCCAGGGGCGGGCATGCGCACTTACGAATGGCTCGTCACTCAGATTGGCATGATGATGTTGCGCGAGAAAGAAAAATGGAACATCGACCTGCATGAGGGTACTTTGAATCAACGTGCTCGTCAGATGCGCTTGG